TTCTTCTCCCTCCACGGCCACCAACTCAGCGTCAAACGCTGGGGGAAAGATGGTGCGCCCCTCTGCATCACGCTCCCACCTCAGCGTGATCTGAGGTCGGAAGTCAGCACAGAGGCTCTCCCCATCTTCCTCCACCCCTTCTTCTTGTTCCCCAAAGGTGACTATTGTCACGTCCACCTCTGGGTATTGAGCCTTCACTTTCTTTCTACAGTCAGTGAAGGCCACGATCGCGGTTGGCAGCCGGTAGAGTTTGAGGATGTCCTCGAAAGTGCTGGAGTTGAGGAAGTTGCCAATGTGCTCCTCCATCCCGTTGTGAACCAACAGCTTCACGTTCTTCTTCAGCTCCGCGGTTGCGCTCCTCATCTTGTCCATATATTTGTCCTGAGCCTCGAGCTTCTCCTTGCAGATCTTCCTTTTACGTTCTTCGAGGCCGAGCTTCGTGCTCAGGACATCATTTTTGTTATGGAGCTCGGTCACTGAAGGGAGAACTTCATCTAGCCTCCTCTGCATCTCCTTCTTCTGCTTCTCCCATTCCACCTTCCCCTTCTGCAGCTCATCCTTCTCCCTCTGGAGCTGGTCACACTGCCTTTGCAAGCTGGCACGGTCTCTAACGCTCTCTGCATACTCCTGCGTTAGAGCGTTTGTCCAGCTCGCACTCTACAATGCAAATCAGAAGTTAGACATCACGCACAAGACACACAACTCAAATATACAATCGGAGTACAATCTAATTATTTCACATACCTCCAGGGCATGCCTCACAATGGTATACCCTGCATGGCTAACCACCTCGTCCTTCGCCCGCATCCTATCCACCTCAGGAAGGGTAGCGTTGAGGAAGTGCTTCGCCCCAGTCTTGTTTGTCGCCTCAAACAAACTTTTCTGGTACACGTGCGGAGGGGTGCGCTCCCTGCCCCCACCAAGGCCTCGCACTTCGACCTTGCCCCTCTCCCTCTCTTCAGGATTAACTTCCGGAGAAGAAGACCAGGGCACGAACTCCACCACCTCGTCCCCCCGGGTTTCTAGCTCTGCCACCCTCCTCCTCTTCCTCTGGAGAGGGGCCATCTCCTCACTTACATCCTCACTTCCTCTCGTCGTATGCTCCGGCCTTGGCTGCACCTCCACAGCCCGAGCAGAAGTGCTGGACAGTAACCCCCCCTCTGTCACCCCCTTCTCAGCCGCAGTTGAAGTCTTTGACTTCTTCCTTGGCTTCTTGGGGATGCGCAAGCCCCCAGTAGCACCAACGAACTCGTCCATCTCAACTGCAGAACAAACATCAATGTTAGAACACATTAGTTAAGCTCGCACCAAAATGGCACATTAAACACATCCACCAACCTTCCCCCAATGAGCTTGGCCCATAAAGCT